TCGTTTTGGTACCATCAGTAATGTTATTTTTCAAAATAAATTTAAAATAGCGATTTTGCATAATTCATGTGTTAGATAGCGTCCTGTTGCAGCATAAATATTAAGTACGTTATTGTCGTGATATTATACGTTACTTGCAAATTTAATCAGAATCTAAATTTTCGTATTTCAACTACCAGTGTGAAATGTATGTATTGCAATTCTTAATAGGGAAAAAGTAATCATAAAAGCAGCCAAATATATGTATATAATAGAGAAAAAGTAACATGTCAGCCAAATATATTAATATATTTTGATAACAGTATGTAGTGTAATATTACAGCATCACAGCATGTATGTTAATGTTACTTGTTTAAAGTAACATAATTTTTAAAAGTTTAGATCGATAAATACTCTAATGACAAATGGAAAAAAAGATCATTAGTGTAAAATGTAAATTTTGTTAAATTAAGTTGTTAATGAAATATTTATGTATCTTGTACATAAAATACAATGTGTACTATGTATATTATTGACTATTATTAGGTATACTTATTGAGTATATTATATTATGTATACACAAATAGGTACAGCGCGGCGCCGAAATTTTTTACAAAAAAATTAATTTAATTTACAAAAATAGAATTAGAAGTGTGTGAGTATCGAAAAATTAATTAACAACTATTTTTTTTTTCAAATAAATTTGCTTATGTATGTACTGTTTTATTTGCAATTAAAATTTTGACAAAGTCGATAAATAACAAAATTTCGATTATTTGGTACATTTTTTTATTTTGAGAATTGAAAATATAAATATAAATTCTATAAATTTTACTATCTGTTGAAGAAATCGGAGTGTTATTATAGTTACTTATTAGCGAGCACACATTCCATTTGAGGTTTTTTTTTATTTTGAACGTATTTTTACTATTGAATTAAGAAAACTATTTTAATAAGTACTTGGAATTATCACATGAGTATCGCAATAATTTTGCAACAAATTTATTAATTACCATGATTGGAAGTAATATTGATTTTTAATACGTTGACATTTTAGGAAAAAAATTAGATAGATATGAGACTGAATAAAAATTAGTAAATTGATTTTTATTAATTTTATAAACGAATTTTATAATATGAAAGTTTTATGCAAAAATGTTGTTTGTCAATTCAAATAATTCAACATAATGAGCGCTTCATATAATTAATTTGGTCAAGTTTTGAATAGTAAACATATTGGCTTTGTTATATGTAAACACATAATTAATCATGAATTCTAGATAGCTATTTAGAATGAAATAAATACACCATTTTATAAAGCAATTTGATATGAGAGTGTGGGTTTCTTGTTCTTATACAACCTGGTACGAGAGTCATGTTAAAATAGATTTTGCAAATCTTCATGTTAAGATACCGGAGTTTTTAACTTTCCTATACATTGTAGGAAAAATTTTTAATCATTGAAAGTATTACCCAATCTATTAACGATTATGTCTTAAATATTATGCAGTTCAACAAATTTAATATTAAATGCATTAAATTATTTTTTCATTAATAAAGATTCTTCTATATTCACGTTGAATTTCTTCATAAATTTTTCATAGAATGTATAATTTGCCATACTTTGATTTTAATATTTCCATTTTAGTTAAATTTGTATACATTCATACATACATGTACATATATGTTGGCGTAGGTGCGCAATGAATAAATTTGCTTAAAAAACCATTTGCATTGATTCAATGAATTTTTTTTGACCTAAGGAAAATCATTTTTATATTCGGAGATGAAAATTTTGTGTTTTCAAACAATTTATATACATACATACATATTATTATCATACATAGGTAAATTAAATGATTAAAATTCGTTATATTTTGACGAAATAAAAAGAAAAATAATTTTTAAGAATCGGCAAGAAAAAACAATAAATAAAAATTTAATTGCAAAATTAGAGAATAAGCAAAAAAAAAAAAACGAGACCATCAAAGAAAATAAAAGAAATCTAAAATGAAAAATTAAATTTATATAGGAATTTTTTTAAAAGAAAGAGAACATAGAAATAAATAAAATGAAAATACAATATTTAAAATAGAATTATTGTATCAAAAATATATTCTGTATAGAGTGTAACAATATTGTTACCAGAATGCATGAATTTCAATTTGTTTAATTTGATGCCATTTCCGCGTTCCTACCTTTTCAATTATATTTTATCTTTCTTTAGTAAAAAAAAAAGAGACTCACATGTTTTGCATTAAATTTCATATTTTAAACAAAATATTGTGTTTCAATGAAATTTCTTGTGAATTGTTATTTTTTTTTTATTTATATACTAATTTTGAGGCTTATTAAATTTTTTTTTATATGAATATGTGCAAAAACATGTGATTTTTTTAGATTTGTAAATTACGTTTCACTTAAAGATGAAAAAAATGTTATCCAATCAATTGATTTATAAATATTTTATCAAACATGAGTTTTAATCGAATAACAGAAATGAGTTATCGGCTCATCTCTTAAGAAATAGATTTTAAAAACAAAATTATAGTTGGGTTATCGATAAAATTAGAAATTATACAAAATCAATCTATTTTCCAGATAATTTTCGCAGTCGTAGTTTAAATTTTGTATTGAATGTAAGGGGTAAATGAAACCAAAATTGTAATAAACGAGTCCGGGTTTTTTATACCCTGCACTTCGTGAAGGGTATATTAACTTTGGTATGGAGTTTGTAACTACTTGAAGGAGTCATCTGCGGTATGGACATATATATATATTCTTGCTCAGCGTAAAATTCTGCGTTGATTTAGACATGTCCGTCCGTCCGTCCGTCCGTCCGTCCGTCCGTCCGTCCGTCCGTCCGTCCGTCCGATCGCACGATAACTCAAAAACGAATAATGCAATCGACACCAAACTTTCACAAGTTGCTTCTTTTGTACCAAGGACGAACCCTATTGTTATTGGACCAATTCGGACAACGGGTTCGGGTAGCTGCAATACAACTCAAAGAGTTTATTTTAATTATTTCAAAAACTAATAAAGGTACAAATATAAAATTTTGTATACATGTGTCCAATTATATTCTACATATGCTCTAAAAATTTTAGTGAGATAGCTGCACCGGTTGGGGTGGCTGCCATACAACTCCAAAAGCAAATTTTTTATATTCGGCAAAATAATAAAGTCAGATTCATGAAACTTGGCAGTCGTGTGTCCAATTATAGGTCAAAGATATTTCTGAAGTTTTGGTGGAATTGCTTGACAGGTTCGAGTGGCTGCCATACAAGTCCAAAAGCTTATTTTAAATATTTGGAAAAATAATAAAGTCAGATTCATGAAACTTGGCAGTTGTGTGTCCAATTATAGGTCAAAGATATTTCTGAAGTTTTGGTGGAATTGCTTGACAGGTTCCAGTAGCTCCCATACAAGTCCAAAAGCTTACTTTAAATATTTGAAAAAATAAAAAAGTTAGATTCATGAAACTTGGCAGTTGTGTGTCCAATTATAGATCAAATATACTTGCGAAGTTTTAGTGGAATTGCTTGACAGGTTCGGGTACCTGCCATACAACTCCAAAAGCTAATTTTAAATATTTGGAGAAATAATAAAGACAGATTCATGAAACTTGGCAGTTGTGTGTCCAATTATAGGTCAAAGATATTTCTGAAGTTTTGGTGGAATTGTTTGACAGGTTCGAGTGGCTCCCATACAAGTGCAAAAGCTTATTTTAAATATTTGGAAAAGTAATAAAGTTAGATTCATGAAACTTGGCAGTTGTGTGTCCAATTATAGACCAGATATATTAGCGAAGTTTTAGTGGAATTGCTTGGCAGGTTCGGGTACCTGCCATACAACTCCAAAAGCTAATTTTAAATATTTGGAAAAATAATAAAGTCAGATTCACGAAACTTGGTAGTTGTGTGTTCAGTTATAGATCAGACATATCCGTGAAGTTTCTATAGAATGGTTTCACATGTTTGAGTAATTGCTATACAACAATGAAAGGTGCAGGGTATAATTCAATCGGTTCATACCGACTGAAACGTTTTTACTTGTTACAATTTTAATTATTACCCATAACATTTTGAAATTTCATTTTAAGATAAAAAAATATTGTAAGATTTTGTTACAAAAGAAGATTGCCGGTTACTAATAAATAATTAATTTATATGTTGCCTATATTTATTTATTGATTATTATTCAAAAAAAAAAAAAAAAACAAAAAAGGTTTAGCAATAAAATTCTGAATATGAAATACCCAAAGCAGCAAAAAATATTACGATAAAAAATGCTGATCTTTCTACTATGAAATTTATATGCAAATTATTTTTGGTTTTTTTTTTTAATTTTTAATTTTAATAAGCAATTTAATTAAAACAGCTATAATATAGTTTAATTTGGTCAAGTTGTGACTAGATAAAATTAGAAATTATACAAAATCAATCTATTTTCCAGATAATTTTCGCAGTCGTAGTTTAAATTTTGTATTGAATGTAAGGGGTAAATGAAACCAAAATTGTAATAAACGATCAAAGGTTAACATAATGAACATATTATAATCATATTCTTATATAAATAAGAAAATTATATAATGGGACGAATGACCATATGTAGTATTGAAAAAATATTTAATAAACCTACGCGCCTTTTTATGGGAAAAATAAAATGCTTTTATAAAAAATTTATTTTTGATTTAATAAGCAAATATACAATCTATTACATACATATTTCAGTCAATTAAGTGTTACCAAACTGAATTATACATATAACGGTAAAAAAAACTGTTTACCGTTATTAACGAATTTTGTAATTTTTGCTTCACGATGTGTTTTATAATAAAATTTAGCATTTATTTAAAAAAAATATTTTTGATGAAAATCAAATTCAATGAGTTTATAATAATTATTTTAATTTATTGATTAGAATTCTATCACTGTTATGGTATCTACTTGTTCTAATATTATCGATATAATTTTGTGCTATTATTTATGAAATCTGGTAATACTTTAAATACTTACAAAAAAATATTCACTTTATACGTATACATATAGTATATCATATTATTACGGTTAGAAATTATTACTTTTTTTATTTTGTTTTCCCTCCAGTTAAAAGATCAATGTTTCAATTATGTCTTAATAATTTACATTTAAATTTGTATAAAAATATAAAAATATTTATTAAAAAATGTTTTGAATTAAAAATAATTTCTGTTTCTTTAAAAATTAAAAATATATTTTAATTTAATAAATTTGAAATTTAATTATCACTCCCTCTTGAACGAGAAGCATTAAAAATATCAACACCTATAAAGTATTCACGATACGAGTATATTTTTTTTTTCATTTTTATCACAACTTTTAATTATTATTAATTTTTATTAACTTCATTTTTATTATCACATACTATTTATAAATTTTTTGTATGTACATTTATAATCAAAAATATAATAATATATTAATTTTTAAAATAATTTGTATTAAAATATTTTTATATTATGTGTACACATATACTTATACTTATGAGTTGTATTTCAAGTAAAATATAGCAATTAATAAAAATAATCCATAAAGGGTTGCTTTTTTTTTTGAATATTGTGTTCGTTAAGTTTTCTCGTTTCCAAAATTTAACGTCTTAACGAACAAAAATTTTATAATTTATTTATCAACCCAAATATTGGATGTACATTCATACGTAACTCGAACAACAAAAATAAAATAATATTGTACAACATGATATCTACGTATGTATAATATTACAATGTTGCTTTCTTGAATTATAATTTAGAATTAAATTGACTAGCTAGCTTACAATCAATTACTAACTAAATTTAAATTTTAAATAAAATTATCTATGGTAAGCGCGTTCAAAAGTATATTATGATAATAAACTTCAATACTTATACCTACGAATATTTTCGAATAATACAAAAACAAAAATAGGTATGGATGTATGATAGTATATTTTACGGGAGTATATCACAAATATTCGCAAAGCTTGTTTGGCTAAGTGTAAGTTTATTGCGCATACAATCATATATACATAATTAACATGAAGCGAAAAAATTTTATAGAGTTTATTAATTACATATATGCTTTTTAGGTATATATATATATTATATTCAGTATAATCTTGAATACACACATAGTGTCACATAGAAAGACGTGAGAAATACAAAAGGTGTTGAAATGTGTTTTGCAACTGCTGCTTGATTGTAGATCAAGGAGATTGATTATAAAAATTGCAATTATGTAGTTTGTAAAAAAAAAAATACAAACTGTTTGATTGCTCAATTGCATACGATCATACAATTGCATGTATACGCTTTTGAATATAATTCTATGGAATACAAATAAGTAATCAAACAGTTGCAACCACAAACTAAAAATTGCATGTCTGCCTGAGCCCTAATAGCAAATTTTAAAAAACTAAACAAATAAAATTTAAAATTCGTACTTTAAATAATATCTTTATTAAATTGTTTAAACCGCTTTTAGTAAAGGTATATTACTTTGTATTATGTGAAAAGGTATTCAAATCTTTGTATTCTAATCAGCTTTATAAATATAGAAATTTGAATTCTTTTGAATGTATAATTGATGAAATTTTTATTAAAAGTTGTTTCAATAGTTTTATATTTGGTGATCTTATAAGATAGTTTTACTAATATATTACTAGTATAATACATACACATCCGCATTTACAAAGTTTTCAGTTTTATGCACACATATATGCCGTTGCAGAAACTATTTTTTGTAGCTAGTGTATAGAGTAAATAGAATTTTTGTGTATAGAGGCAATGTTTGTATGAAGCATAATAAGTACTAAGATACAGCGTTTAAAAATCAGTTACTGAAGTTTGATGTCAAGTCACTTAAGCTATTTTCAACTATTATGAAGCTAATTCTGCTGTGAATGTTGCTGTGAATACAAAAAGTATACTTCACCAGTAGACGGTATATTATAGTTGAAAACTTAGAACTGAAACAACCTGTACATACATAAATTAAAATTTTTATTTCATACATGCACACATATTTGTATTTTTATGTTGTATATATAAATAAAAACAAAATATAGTAAGAAAATTTAAAAAAATTTATTTAAAATGTTTTATAAATAAAAGTTGTATTAAAATAAAATTGAAATAAAAACAAAACATTGATAGAGTGTAAACATTGATGTATGCAAATAAGTATGCATGTAAGCATAGAGTATGTATGTATAATGCGTACATATTCATATTCGCATGTTAAATGGTAAATAAACAGAAAAAGAGAATAAAAATAAAAAAAAAATTTACATACATTTTATTTAAATTTTCGGAAAGGTAATGTTGCGCCAAAACGTCAGTAAGTTTATTGATTTGTTTTTGTTATACGAAAAGGTAACTGATCCATATGAAGATTATTTTTATATCACGTGATAAGTAATCGATTTAAAAATCTCACAATATCTTTAAAACAATTATTGTGTTTGTGTAATATTATTGTGCAACATTCTACTTTAAAATGTTTGAAAAGAAAATAATTTTTATGAAACTTGTATGATAACATTTTTATTTTGTATGATTTGCCAAAACATGAAAATAAAATATGCAAAATTTTATGTTATGTCGTGAGTGTACCTAAAAATTTATAAAAGCTTTAGAAATTATAAAATTTCGATTTTAAATTTCAGCTTAATTTTAAGTCGTAATTACTAGTAAGCATTGTTCTTCATAAGATAATAAAATAATTTGTCCCTGTAATAATAATTATTTTAAATTTAACAAGTAAGTTGATTGTGGTGTTGTTTTGTTCGAATCGGGAAATTAAGTAATTACAATACAAATTTTTAATATTTTTAAGAAAATATTGCGAATTTTTAAAAATTTATCTATTGTAAAGTACCGAAAATTAGTCTTTAAAGCCTACTAGTCTATAGACATGTTATTGTTACTCATCCGTGTTCAAATTGCTGAGATTTTATTGTATTTGTATATTTTTTGTTTTGGTTAGAATAATTTTCTTATTTCTATATAAATTCCGTTTATCTTAAGATGGTTTCTTGACTTTGATTATTTATATACATGTGTACATTCATAAATGTATAATCATGTATGTACGCAAATATATATATACATATATACATAATTATCATCAATAATAAGAATGGTATATTTTATTTCTTTGTTTACTATGAAATTAGTATGATTGTATAAAATTATTGTTTTCATTTTTGTTTTAGTTTTTTTTTATAGTCCAAGAGTGTATTTTGGTATTACGTTTGTATATTTTGTTTCTAAATAAAAACAAAAACTTGATTCATTTTTCACATTATTATTTTAAATTACAAATTTTTTTTACTAAATATGAAAATTTAATAAAATACTATAAATAGTTTAAATATAAATTTAATAATTTATTTATTCGTAATGGAAGTTGTTAAACAGGTTTCTAGATTTTTTTTTTCGTTTCATATACATATAATTAAAAATTTAGGTAAGGTATAAATGATTTCAGACAGTATAAAAGATAGAATTTTATATGATAAGAGATTATTATAGTGACATAACAAGAGTGGGGGTGGCATTTGATAAAAAGTTGTTTACAAGATTTCTTATTGAATTCATAAACGGCGAATTTATTATTACTGGGGCTTAAGATTCTGAGGTGTCAATCACTAATTTGGTGGATAATTGTATGATACTAACTCGCGGATATTCAGTATGACAGAAATCGATAAATTTCAAAAACTCTATTATACATATAGAGTAAATTTCATATTATAAATTATAATATTTGTTCTCACTATCATTTAGCAATTAATTTCTCAGAATAGGCGCCATTGATTTTCTTAATCTTAAAAAGTATTAACTTTTCATTAAATTGGCTGTAAAATAAAGTTAATATTTAAAAGTTTCGTGCTTGATAGTGTAAAGTTTTGAAATTGAAAATAAAACAAGATTTCATACTTCTTAATGGATGCATAATGGACGCAGTTATAGTTCTTAATGGATGTAGTTGTAAGTAAGAAGACACGCCTTGATTTTTTGTTTTATTTTAATGTTGTTGAAATTAATTTCAAATACGGTTGTATTGGGTAATTAATGGCACTATTATTCAAATTTAATAAGCAATAGAAAAATTATCGCCTATAATTTATTGAATATAGATTCGTAATAAACTACATGACGCCGTTTATTAACCATATTCGGAAATTGAATACTTAAACGAATATAAATATTAAAGAGATTAAGGAATATCAAAATTAAAAAACAAATTAAAATTTATATAAATTAATTACTTTTAATTGTTTTTAAAAATAAAATTTCAAATAATGGACAGTGAAATAAGATTTCAGATTTAAAAGCCGTAAATAATATTAAAATTTTTTTCATATATGTACAAATAATTTGAAACGTGCTTTTGATCTGATTTGATAAGTGAAATTGTTTACAAAACAAAGGAAATTATAATAATGTATAAAACTACAAAGCTTTGAAGTTGGAGCCACACATTATATTAAATATGAGATTAATTTGATATTTTCATTAGTTTGGAATAACAAATAATATATATTGTTGAATGTATGTATGCGCATTATAAGAGCGCGTTAAATTTGTGACTACAGGTGGGGTATAATAAAAATACTATGCATTAATATTTAAGATTCATAATTTGTAGTCACTTTGAATAGTGTTATTTAGATTAAAAGTTCGAAGTGAAAAAGATAGAAAAGTTTTTTTTTGATAGAAACTGTTTAATTTGCTTTTATATAAATAATTCTTATTAGAATTTTTCGCGTATAATATAATGAAAATTTGTCGACCACTGATTTGTTTCTTCAAAAGCAGCTTGCTTAAAATATGAAGGGCGAAACTATTATTCATCATTTACAATTCCACTCTTATGAACAGACAGAGGTTTCTTCGATCGCTCGCTCTCCTTTCCATATTCTGTAGGCAACAAATTAACGAATATAAATATTCATGAATGACCTTAGCCGATTTTGACCAAATAAGAACTGGCTTGAATTAATGTAGAAATTACGAAATACGACAGTGAAAGAAAAAATGTTGTAAGTCGAGTATTGTCAGATATTTATTTAAATTCTTCAATAGGCTAAATTTAACTAATTTTATGAACTTAGTAAGCATTTTAAGAAGAGAAAGGAG